TTTTGTTGGTCCTTCTTCTGTAGAACAGGACAATTGGTGAAGTGTAGATACTCAGATCCTCTGACAACTCGTCCGAGCTCGGGCAGGGTATGCATAAAATCAATACTGATGAATCTAGTAATCCTGTGATATCTGTATGCTGGATCAGATATAAGAGGAACTTGTAGGAAGCACCCTTTCATTAGATTATTCTGTTTCAGAGCTTATAGATTGAAGATGACCCATATAGCACCAAGCAGGGGCTGTCAAAAATTTAATAATAGGAACAACCAAAGTTAATTTGGTAGCTTCAAGGCGTGATTATGAAAAAGTGAAACATGGCACATTTGCACTCAAGATTTGCAGTTTAGGTATTAAACTAGGTAGGATTTTATAAAAATTGTTGCCAGTAGAAATCGTGATGTTACTTCATGGTCTGTGTACTTTTTTACATATCTGCCTTCATTATGTCCTATTGGTGTTTTCTTCAATTTCATGATGAGCAATTAACAGATATTGTAGCTAAGAAAATGACAAGTTGTCAGCCTGTGCAATAAAAAAAAATCTGCTCAACTAAAATTAATTTTTGTAAATAATGGTAAGCAGGATCGAATCCACAGGAATTGTATTTTACTGCTTCTTTTCAAATTCACAGTAATCAGGGGGTATTTTTGTATAGAAGGTGACAATCAAATAAATGCAAATCAAATCCAACAAACTACTAAAAATTAAATAACAATTTACTAAAGTCAAATGAATGATAACTAATGATTTAGTCAAGAAAAAACTTCAGTAATGGTTCACTTAATTGATCATTGAAACAAAGTCAATTTCAATTATTTACTAATAAATAAGTTATAATTGTCAAACAAACGATGACAGTCAATCCTTCCTTACTGTGCCGGTGATTAAGGTACGGTCGTTAATCACTGCCCTAATTGAAAAATAATCTTAAGTACACCCATAAGATTTAATTCTCCAATTGCCTTACGTATTAGAGGAGCCCTATTCTAACCAAATAACACACTACCAGGGTTATTTTAAATTAGCCCACGTATCCCCTGACACAAATCTAATCATGTCAGTTATCACTAATTCAGAGCAATTAGACAATTACGGATCTAACGCCCCAATTGACAATAGACTCCTAAATTAACTAATTATTCGGATCCAAGACAATCAATTAATTGAACAATCACAAACACTGTAATCAGGGAATATGCGAATACCAATAAATAAAAAAAAGATAAAATTAAATTGATCTCACAATTTTTAGACGAACCAAAGCATCCGTTGTTCCCTGACTAGAATGCGGAAATTAGTTCATATTTGATGAGAAGAAACCATACAAAACTAAAACAAAAGCTGCAACCATCGTCTTGTGTAAGTGGGAAAATTCAACCTATTTGAGCAGTCAAGAAAACCGAGGCTACCGAGGAAAGTTCAATGCTTTCACTTTTTCCTAACATCCGAAGGAAGCAAAAATGCTAAAAGACAAGAAAGAAAAAGTCAAAGAAAACAACTCCTAAGTGCTCCTGACATGCGCAGGAGACAAACTACCAAGAACCCCACTAGAGGACGAAGACGGAAAAGTCAAAGAGCTCCCCTCTAAAATAGTGCTAATTCCCTGTTATTTCTATTTCCTATATAATACTACTGTGCGGCGTCCGCGGCCTGAGGAAGAAGAATACTCCAGCCCTCTTTTTTCCATGCTGTCTTCCGTAAATTACCAAAAAGGGTCACGTCTTGAAATTTCAAAAATGCCCCTGGACGCCTGCTACTTGAACTCTGTCCTGATGACTGTCAAATTGGCACTTGTTATGGTATTTTCGATCTACTCCCTCAAATAAATGTAAATTGTCAAAAGTGAGTAGAATCTAATAATTAATCCACATCAGGTCAGGTAATAGGGAAAATTAATAATAAAATAAATAATAAAATTGCAACCTATCAATTCCTTCCATGCCTAAATCATGCTTGTTCTCAAGCATAAGAACAACAAACAAACACCAATATTTAACAATGACTATTGCTCTATCTACCATATTGCCAAGATACCAAGAGAAAATCATATATCAAGCATCAGTGATCAAAATTCGAGAAACATCACCCCGGTTAGTTTCTAAACCACAAACTCCTTCAATTTCAGATTAACTGATCTAAGAAAAAGGAATGATCGTTCAACATTCATCAGCAAATGGTCCAACTATTAACCAAAATCTCAACGTTAAGTGCATAGATTGGTAAGCTGACTTTTTCACACACTAATCACAATCTTCACCTTTTTATCATTTTTTAAAATTTTTCTTCCTCTCTTTTTTTTTTTTAATTTTTTTGTTTTTCAATATTCACACCAGACTTGGTCTCTAACCATCAGGGCTTTTTGACTCGAGTTCCGACATTTATTAGATGAAAGAGTCCGGTTACTCAGCTCCTACAGCCAAGCGACCACATACTCATAGAAATTACTACTTTTTGATGCGAGAATCGACACTTTTGGTGAAAATCCCCGGTTACTCGGTAGTAAAGACTAGCGGAGTACAGTCAACTCTTATTCACAACTAAATAACACAAAAACTCAATATCACAAAGAAAAAGCAGCTAGCCTCATTTTTTCCAAACATGGAGAATTAAAGTTAATCACTGGATCAATTCACATGAAAATGCCAACAATCATTCTCAGTGCCTAGAAAAGTTAATCAAAAGTTAGAAGAGTCAAATAATCACCGATATTCACCAAAGAGATGTTTTTGGATTCAACCACATTAACTAGATACACTTTTATTTTTAAAATTTGACAATAGAAGAAATAGAGTCAACAACCATCATCAAATCTTGACAGTCATAGGAGACCTGATCACGAATAAAAGTAAAAGAAAATAAACGAAAAATAGAAAAATAAAGAGAAAAAAAACATCTAAAAACTAAAAACTAGAAATACTAGCTGTACCACAGCTCTCCCTCACATCTAAATTCGACATTGTCCTCAATGGAGATCATAAAGCAAAGAGAGCAAAGAGGACAACGGAACTTCTCTGTCGAGTGGCTAAGGGGTAAGCGGGAACGGTGGAGGAAAATCGATGTGGTGGAAGTACGCGGGTGATGTTCGTCACTCTCTCATCTACGCGGTGAATCTGGGCCCGCAAGTGGTGCGACTTAACATCCGAGGCCATTGGTGGGGGAGGTGCAGAAGAAGAGGGCTTGGGTCTCACCATTTTCTCCAAATATCACTCCAATCAACAAGAGACAACAATTGCCCACAAATAATGTAAACAGCAAATTCAAAGCAGTAATAATTTAATAGCCACCGGTGCCTCCCAAATATCAATAGAGAGCGACACAACTTGCCTACCCAAAATCTCTCCGAATATCTCCGATTGCACAAGAACAACTCAGTCACACATGCCCAGCAATCAATTAGGCAGCCAATCACATAGGATTAACAAATTATATGCAAACTACTACAACCAGTACCACTGGTGCACACACAGGTAAGAAACAACTCAAACAGGCAACCCAACCAGTGATAACCCAATTACTGCATCAGTTTTTGCAAATGACTCCCAGCAATATGCTCAAACACACTCAATTTCAACGAATAAACCAATCGAACAAGCTAGGGGCAGTAATAGTGGTGAACAATCTCAACAAATGAACTCACTTCCACCCAACGATCAACAAGCCAGATCAACAATTTACGGCAGCCCACTTAGTGATAGGGCACCAGGACAAACCCCAATTTCAGCGATGTAAAAAGCAGATAGCAAATTAAGGGTCCAAATACAGAATACCTCTATCTTGATGGCAGAACAGTGCGAGGAGAGAGCGGTGACGCACATCAATGGTTCAGGGTGTGGCATCGCTGGCGACGGCGCACGTTGGTGAGAGCGGGCAGCCGTGGCTGCAGGTAGCGTCGGTGGAAGATGAGGAGTGCTCCGCAGCGAGTTGTGACATAGAAGAGAGGTGCGCGCTGAGGAGAGAGTAAGCAGAGGGCCGCAGCATGCGGCGGTGAGTGGGTCGCCTTGGTGGCATCGAGTAGCGGTGGCGTGCGAGAGCGAATGATAGGCTGCTACGGATGGTGGTCGTCGCGGGTGAAGAGTGAGGGAGAGGAAGTGAGAGACGTGAGATGGCAGCGGCGGTGATGAGGGCTTTCGGTTGACAGAGAAGAAGAAACAAGGGAGAAGAAAGAAAGAAAAGAAAAAGAAAAAAAGAACGAAAAAGCAAAGAAAGAAAAAAAAAAGAAAAAAGAAAAAGAAAAACAAAATAGTTTTTTTTTTTCTTTTTTTTAAACTTTTTTTAATTTTTTAGATTTTTGTAAATTCAAATTTTGAACATCAGAAATTATTGCTAAACGGAAAGACCCATTTTTTTTTTGTAATTTAAAAAAAAATTTAAAATTTTTTTAATGTTTTAAATTTTTTTGAATATTATTATTATGAATAAAACTTATTGTCCAAATTCAAAATTAGAGAGTAACAGAAAATTGAAATCTGTTTTCAAATTTTGATTACTTACCTTTCCCGCGAACGTGACATGGGCACGTCAAGAGGGTAAGAATCTTTTTGACCATAAGTTCTCCATACGACATGAAGCGTGCGCGTCATGTCATAGAGATACTTATGAGTCATCAAAAATGAAAATTGAAACTCGAAATCAGTCAAACTCAAGGAAAACATATTTAAACTAATAAACAAAAATGACCAAATGACTAAAAGAAATTGGGTTGCTTCCCAATGAGCGCCTTTCTTTAATGTTTTTGGCTAGACATTGTCATGTTTGTTCATGGAGGATAAAATCTTGAGACTCGTTTTAATGATTCATCCTCTATATAGTCCTGATAACCCTCGTAAATAGAGTAATTCTTGAACACACGAGTTACGGTCTTTCGTGGACTAGTAAATGGCGTTAAACAAGTTAGCGATAATTTGAATTCTCCATTTACTCCTCTCTCACGTGTATTTATTGGTCCAAGATATCTTGTCATCACCACTCTTAATTTATTCCTGTCACGAAATTTAATATTTTCTAGTATAATAAAGTCAATTTCATTAACAGGAATTGACGAATAAGAGTTAGGAGAATATTGATTAAGGAATGGAGGAGATGTCACAACATTTGGAGGTTGTTCACTAGATTCATTCACTTGAACGAGTTGATGTTGGGGTTTCATTTCTTGCACTTCAACTTTCATTTCAATTGCATCTTTAAATCAATTTTCTTGAGACTCTTATAGCTCCATGTCACTTATCAGAATAATTGCACTTTTATCTTCTTCAAGGTCGATGTTGGCTTGTGAGGGCAAATTTTCACTCATGTGAGAAGCTAATTGCGTTATCTTGGATGTCAATAGATACACTTGATCTGCCATCCCGACTGTCACTAGTTGCACTTAATCCGCCATCGCTTGTATCTGCTGATGAAATCGATATGTATTAGTAACCAGTAGTTCAATCATTTCTTCAAGAGACATACCTGACATGGATGATGGTTGTTGAAACTCTTGCTATTGAAAACCCATTGGCCTGGTTGCATAATTAAAATTGGAATCATCCCGCTATCCTTGATCATACCTGTTTGAATAAGGGTCATATTACGTTTGATATTGAGGTGAAAAATCTCCAAATTGACACTTGTTATGGTATTTTCGATCTACTTGAACTCTGTCCTGATGACTGTCAAATTGGCACTTGTTATGATATTTTCGATTTATTCCTTCAAATAAATGCAAATTATCAAAAGTGAGTAGAATCTAATAATTAATCCACATCAAATCAGGTAATAGGAGAAATTAATAATAAAATAAATAATGAAATTGCAACCTATCAGAAAATGTAAAAAAAAAGAAAAATTGATGCTTTATGGAACTTTCTAATTGCAATGTTCTTCTTAATCCAAGGCATGCAACTCCAAATAAAGATGTAGTTTAAAATGAATAGGACTAATATAGACCAAAATGAAAGATGACAAGCAGCAAAGGAGGGAAGAAGGATGATTGAATTATTTTGAGTATCAAAGCCATTTCAGCCAATCTTTTCCTTTCAGGTCACAGAGGAAACATTTTTTGCAACTCATCCCTGGTAATGAAGAGCCTCATTGATGAACTTGTCAAAATTAATGTAAGATGATCCCCCTACTTCAGTTGCTTCCTCAGCTTTCTTCTTCCATTCTTTAGCGTTGAACCTCATTTTTTCCCCTTCCTCTCCCACAATCATTTTGCGTACAAGTTCTGCAACTTCATCGCGCTTCACATCATGATTTATTTCCATTCCAATTCCCCATTTCTCACAAGAGTAATGACAATTAGTTTGCTGATCAGCAAAGAAAGGCCAGCAGATGACAGGCACACCAGCACAAATAGTTTCCATCATAGAATTCCATCCACAGTGTATCAAAAATACGCCAACAGCTGAATGCTCCAACACTTTCTCTTGTGCACACCAGCTTGTTAAGAACCCTCTATCCTGAATCTCTTCAAGGAAATCTTCAGGCAGCATTGCTGATTGTCCTCCCTGCACTACATCAGGCCGCACAATCCACAAGAACTGTTGCTTGCTGTTAGCAAGTCCCCAAGCAAATTCTTTGAAATGATGGTCAGTCATGGTTGTTACACTTCCATAATTAACATAAACAACTGACTTTGGTGCTTTTTGATCCAACCACTCGAAAACTTTCGAGTCAGGCTTCCATAAACTTGAATTCAGGGAATTGACTTGGCTTTCGGGAATAATGTGCCTGGCTAATAGCTTTACAGGGCCTATTGTATAAATATTTGGGAAATTGAACTTCGAAATGACTGCCTCCAATGCTTCTTTTTCAAATTCATCGAAGGCATTGAAGATTATTGCTGGAGCTTTCAGACAACTCTGTGCTTCCTCTCCCATGAAATCAAACATAATGTGATTGGGATCTGTTGTTCTTAAAAAGCTTGGAAGGTCCCTGAATTTTACATTGCTCATTCCACAAATCCAATCAACAGGCTTATCAAGAGTACCATCAGTAAGGTAATCGTCATCTGGACAGAAAAACGAAAATCATTTTTTAAGATTGAGGAATAATTATGAAGACTATCAAGCAATCAAAATCAAATTTTAGACATTTGAACAACCATCCTTATCAAGTTTTATTCCTTTCAGTATCTGTGTTTTAGAAAATTCATATAGGATTATCTACCGAGGTTGTTGACGAGTTAATGAAAATGGTAAAAGAAAGACGAAAAATTAGAAAGACTGTTTCTATTGTTTATGACAGCTCCTATGTATCATTAGTTTTAGTATCAACAACTTATCACTGCTCATATTTACTTGCTCATGTGGAAGCCCATCTCAGTAGATCTAATTGAAGGAGTTACTTGACATATTGCAATCCTATCTGTCTTTCTGTGATAATTTCAGAAATCTTCTTTAAGGTTTTTTGTAATATCACTTAGCATTAATGGTGGAGTCAAGACCGTACTGCATTCCTAAATTGATATTATTGTTATGTAAAAAAAGTAGCATACATTAAGATTGTATTTTATTTTTAATTTTCAAGTTTTAACTTTCTAACGTTATTTATTTTCCATATCCTATTCAATTTTGTATGTTAATAGTTTCAAAGCAATTTCACCGACGGAGAGATGTCTAGAAGAAAATACTAATATTTGGGGGGGGGAGGGTTATGTTTGGGGAGATTGGGATTTTTCAACATATAAGGGGCAATGTAAAGCGAAAATTGTATTTTCAAAAATTTAGGGGTTACAATTATAAGAAAAAAACTTTCAAACCTTTCAAGCCTACTATTTAATTTTTACAAAATTGAGGGATGGCAATTGCCCATCCTTCATTACAGGGTGGCTCTGTCATTGCTTATCATCCATGAGATTTTCAAAATATTCCTTACCTTATCAGTTTGAAATGTCTAGATATTTCATGAAATGTCATCAACTAACGACATTATCCTTGCACTATCAATAATTACTTATACATAATATAATATACATAATATGTAATATTGTATACATAAATGTGTAAATATTTATACATAATATGTTATGTACATTATATTATAATATATACATTATTAATGTATAATATTATTATGTACATTATTGTGTATAATAATGTATAATAATGTTATGTATAATATATAATATACATAATATGTAATAATGTAATAATGTATAATATATTATATTATGTATATTATACAAATTGAAAATTATATATTATATATTATATAAATATTTATATAATGAAATATACAATAAATATTACAAATTGAAATATTATATAAACACCATATTTATAATATTATAAGATTTATAATTAATATTAATTAATATTATATATATATATTAAATGTTTATATATTTATTTATACATATTATAAACATTTTATGTTATTTAAAAAATATTTTTATATATTTATAATATATTTATATGAATATTATATAATATATAAATTATATATAATATAATATATATAATAAATTATATATATTATACATGTATATAAATGTACATTTATACATAATATATATATTAATGTATATTTATAATATACATGTATATTATGTATTATATATAATATAATACATTTATACATTTATATTAATATACATAATATTAATTTTACATTTATACATAAATGAAAAATGAAAGGAATAAATGTATTATATGGATTATCCTATATAAAAATTTATGGATTATAACGTCAACAACCTCGGTAGATATCTGTGTTTATAGGATTATCTGTGTTTTATATAAATACATAAATATATTTATTCATAAATATTTATAAATGTATTATAAATGCATAAATGTATATTTATATAAAAATATAAAAATTATAAATTATAAATTATAATTTAGACATTTATATAATATTCATTTATAATTTATACATTTATAATAATATACACTTATACATTTATAAATATATTTATATTATGTATTATATATAAAATAATACATTTATATATTTTTTAGCGAATATATAAATATATTTATTTATAAATATTTATAAATATATTATAAATGCATAAATGTATATAAAAATAAAAATTATAAATTATAAATTATAAAAAACCCAAAAATATGTTTTAAAAATACTTCTAAAAATAATCTAAAAAACATCTACAGTAAAAGTTTTTCATATAGTTTTTGAAAAACAACGCCAAAAACAACTAATCCAAACGGACTTGTATTTCAAAAACGAAATGCTACAATGCTGTTTTTGATTATAACGTCCTATATTTATGGATTATATAGAATCATCTTCATTTTACCCGCTACAGTGGTTTCCTATAATTGTTACCGGAAACAGTCATGTGACTGTCACGTGTCCGGCCAAAATGGAATAAAAAAAAGGTCAAGATGCAGTTTTGGTACCTAAACTTTGACGCACGAGTGGTTTTAGTCGCCAAATTTTGGACAAAAACAAATTTGGTACCCGAACTTTCAAATTTTGAGTACATTAAGTACCCTTAACAATTTTTTTCCAAATTGTTACCGAAAAAAGACATATGACAGTCACGTGTCAAGCCATAATTGTACAAAAAAAAAGGCCAAAAAATGTCAAATGCCATTATAATACTAAGTATTAAATTTAAGGACTAATAGCATAATAAAAAAAAAATTCAAGGACTAAATAATATCACATGAGTCAATAAAACCCAAGAACCGATACAAATGAGCTCTAATTCCAGTACATTAATCTAAGAATCAAGTCACAAAATTTGTCTGGAATTGGAGCTCATTTGTATCAGTTCTTGGGTTTTGTTGACTCATGTGATGTTGTTTAGTCCTTGAATTTTTTCTTTATTACGCTATTAGTCCTTAAATTTAATACTTAGTATTAGAATGGCATTTGACATTTTTTGGGCCTTTTTTTATATATAATTGTGACCGGACACGTGACTGTTATATGGCTTTTTTCGATAATAATTTGGGAAAAAATCGTCAAGGGTACTTAATGTATTCAAAATTTGAAAGTTCGGGTACTAAATTTGTTTTTATGAAAAATTTGGAAATTAAAACCGCTCGTGCGTCAAAGTTTAGGTACCAAAATTGCATTTTTGGCCTTTTTTAATTCCATTTCAGCCGGACAGGTGACTATCACATGGCTTTTTCCTGTAACAATTTGGGAAAAAATCGTCAAGGATACTTAATGTGCTCAAAGTTTGAAAGTTCGGGTACCAAATTTGTTTTCATCCAAAATTTGGGGACTAAAACCGCTTGTGCGTTAAAGTTTAGGTATCAAAATTGCATTTTTCTCGTGAAGCTAAAATATCATCTCTCTTGCAATATGCAGTTTTTTAATGTTGATTTCTCGCAAGAAGGCTAATACGTTACAAAAAATTTTAATTAAAATAAAAGTAGGTGAGATACCTCTATCGTTTGAGAAAAAAAAGAAAGGTAGGTGAGATATTGAAATCTCAAGAATACCAAGTACTCTATGAGAAATCTTTAGGGAAGTTTCTGATATTATACCTACTTTTTCCCATTTTTTCTTTGTTTAAAAAAGGTTTTTCCTAATTAGTCCACAGTTTTCCTACCTGCAACTCTTTCTTCAATTGGTATGACATTCGCCAAGTAACCATGAAAATCCTGGTTGTGACTCGGTAGCCTCCTCATCTCTCCTTTTCCATTGCAAGACTTAGTCTCTTAATAAAATAAAATTAAAGAGAACCCATCATGCTGCAAAACCATCGCCCTGTCACACGTCTAGACAAAATTTTCTCCTCGAAACTCGAAAATCTGCTCCCTTCGCATCAATCCCCAGTACATGGTCCAACCCAAACTTCTATCATGTTTTTTTATATGTCCAAGCAACAGCATATATATATATATATATATATATATATATATATATATATATATTAGAGAGAGCGAACTCTTTGGACAGCCCCTAAACTATCGCCTCTCTATGATTTTGACCTCTCAACTATAAATTGTTACAAACAAGCCTTTAAATAAAAAAAAAAGTTTATTTTAAGGATTTCTGTCAATTTTGGTCATTAGATGTGATGGAATTAGGGGTAAAGCCAACCAAACAAAAATCAATCCATGAAAACAGCCTAATTAGGGGTAGAAAAGATGGAAGATGAAAAAAACAAGGAAACATTAAATTTCATGTAGTTAGTTGACTTAATACGGCTGGTTTTTAATCAAATCATGGGTTAATTTTTTTGTTTGGTAGGTTTTGTCCCTAATTCCGTTACATTTAACACCCACAATTGACGGAAGTCCTTAAACTAAATTTTTTTTTGTTCAAGCATTCATTTGCGACAACCTATAGTTGAAGGACTAAAACCATGCAAAGTGAATAGTTTAGTGGCCTGCACATTAATTGTTATCCTTAGGGGTGTGAATCAGAATCAAAATCGATAATTCGGAACTTTGAAATCAAAATTTTGGTATCAGAATTTCCAACCGAATTCGATTTCGAATTCATCAACTCCGAATTCAAATTCGTTCCGAATTTAATTTAGAATTCAATAAATTCCGATTTCACCGAATTCAGGACTATAAAAATTATTATTATTATATAAATGTTATATTACATATATATATAAAATATTATATATAAATAAAAATGAATTTGAAATCGATATGAAAATAAAAATTATTATTATAATATAAATGTTATATTACATATATATAATATTATATATATATGAAAAATGAATTTGAAATCAAAATTGGAATTCCGAATTCCGATTTCAATTTCAATTTCGAATTGTGAATTCAAAATCGGAATTTTCAATTTGAAAAATCCTATTACCGAATTTGAACCAAATTCGCATAATTCGAAATCAAAATATCCTGTTTCAATTCTGAATTTCAAATTACCGATTTGAAAAATTTCGAATTCAATTCGAATTCGATCGATAAATCGAAATTTTTTGATTTTATACACTCCTAGTCACCCCCTTTACAAATCAAAACACTTTAAACACAAGAATAATAGACCATAAAGAAAGAAGCACTTGGCAATTTGGCATTGGACCTCTGGTTGAAGGTTGTGTGCTCTATTTGTTTTCCCATGCATGGCATGAGGTCAATCGGCCTCGGTTTAGTACACTACTCATTGCAGAAAAGCAATAAACATTTTGGCCACAAATCTGGACCTAGTTTCAATGGGCGAATTTTCTATGATTACTAAAAAACAAAGTAGGCCAACTCCAGAATCTTTCATGAGTCCCCCTCACTCCCCCTCTTCCGTTTTTCGTTTGTTTGTTTTTTTTTTTAACCAATAAAATCTGTCCTATGATCCGTGCCGTACTTGGCCAAGTAAGTATTACGTATGTTAGTTTTGTACGTATCTTAAAAATGTAGCTGTTACCTAATGAAACGGTAAAATAAAATTTTATAACATAACTAATGCATATTTGGACAAAAAAAAAACTAATGCATATAAAATTAACAGAAATTTTCTAACAGATGCTACCGGTCAGTACACCTAGAATATATTTAAATTATACCTAATGTGTTAGATGAATGCACATATTTATATCTATTGTACCCCTACAGTTAAATATTATTTTCAAATTAAATTGCAAGAAATAAACACCACCCCTTTTATGGACACCTCACTCGTTGACCAAACACGTGTTACCAAGTTTAGTCGGATTTGAGTCCTAATACGATAAAAATAACAATATTCATACTTGACCAATAATTTTTTTAAAGTATATTCGATCAATTTTATTAGAATGGTTGAGCGGATAATTCAAGGCTGAATTTGGGTAATCAAAATTAAACATCTTCAAACCCAAGTCAAAACGGATCACATCCGGGTCAAGACTTGAGCCATGGTCACTTTACTTCTCAACACTGTCATAATTAGGACAGTGCAAAAATAGAAGTAAGACGATAAAAGGAAGAGATCCTAAAATTGCTTAGCCATACCAATTAAGCTGGGACGTCGAAGACGGTGACACTACAGGTCTCATAAACAAGAGAAAAAGACATGGAGAAGAAAGAAGTTTATAGAACTTACTTTTGAATGGAAAAATCCCTCTCCTGATGAGCTCTCTGTAGTGCAAATATCCAATGAAAGAGCAAGCAGAAGCCGTCCAGAATTGAACTTCAGGGATGCCCAAATCTTCGGCAGCTTTGATACTGAAGCTCATGACACCATCAGAAATGACGCAGCTAACAGGAGGCACTTCGGAAGACGAGATCAGCTTAATCTTTTTTTTTTTCCAAGCCCAAAGGACTTTTGATAGCTTTGACAAACAATTTTTTCTGACAGAATCACAGAGCCGAGGCACGTCTTGAGTTGCATCTTTATCTGACGGTGGCATCCCATCAGGGATAGTCTCAAACCTGAAATCATCGAACCCTTTAACTGACTCTGGCCCTTTCGATCGGATCAAACGTTTGTGGTTAAATTCGGTGTTGACAAAGGTTACATGGAACCCTTTTGCGTGCAAAAGCTTGGCAAGTCTCATTAATGGGGTAACATGGCCTTGAGATGGATATGGAACCAAAACTGCATGAGGTTTTTTCGTGGTTTCTACAGAGCCCATTTCCTGCGTAGATGAAAGTTAATAGACGGGAGCAGAAAGTAATAGCTAGTCCCAAATTGATGGTGCCATTTATAGCAGATGGGGCAGAAATTGATTTTTCTTTTCTTTTCTTTTTTGGGACAAAGGTATACAAAATCATATGTTGTATGCCATATGTACCAGTTCTTTACCACTATGAACCAGATGCACAAAGCGACAAAATATAAATGGAAAACATCCTTTCATAGGTCCCAAGCATATATCCCATTGAATCAAGTAATTATACATTTTTAAAAGGGTTAATTACCCCTTGAATGACGTACATCTTGAGTGGCATCTTTATCTGATGGTGGCATCCCATCAGGGATAGTCTCAAACCTGAAATCATGGAACCCTTTAACTGATTCTGGCCCCTTTGATCGGATCAAACGTTTGTGATTGAATTCAGTGTTGACAAAGGTTATATGGAACCCTTTTGCATGCAAAAGCTTAGCAAGTCTCATCAATGGGTTAACATGGCCTTGAGCTGGAATTGGAACCAAGACTGCATGATGTTTTTTTGTGGTTTTTGTGGTTTCCAGAGAACCCATTTTCTGTGTAAATGAAACCCGAAGACGAAGTATTATGCACAAGTCCCTAATTGGTGGTGCCATTTATGGGATTTGGGGCAGAAATTGATTCGGACCATACACAAAGGTCTACACAAAAGTCATACACTATACCACAAAATATAGTACAAAACATATGTTTCATGGGTCACACACGTCCAGTGAAAATCAAAGTGGACCTTTTAATTTTTGCTGTGCATATTTAAATGGGTTAATTACACTTTGCCCCCTTGAATATGGCGTTCATTTGCACTTGCCCCAATAAACGAAAGGCACTCTGCATCTGTAGAATTTAGGTAAAAAAAAAAAAAACCTTCTAATAAATCTGCTTAACGGATTAGCCAGAAGGACAAATGAGCCCTTTAATAAAGTTTTAACTGAAGTAACGAAAGTTAATTATGAACATATATATTTTTCCAAAAAATAAACTTGAAATGAGGATATATATATATATATATATATATATTAACTATTACTGATTCATTTACTGCATATTTATTACCGTTAACAAACTTGAAGATGGTTCATCAACAATCCAAAATGACCATGTTGTAATGCAATAAGATCCCATTAAATATGTTTGCAATAACATATAGTCCACTTTCGCTAGTAAAATATTTTTATTAAATAATAGCAAATTTTTTTTTATTGTTTTCATAAGTTGAGCTTAAGAAAAATATTATAATTCAATTTTCAAACTTTAAGCATGTACAAATGAACAAATAATCATATAAATTGGATGAGGAAACACATTTTTGAGTTATTTGATGAAGGGTATAATTGTACAATATCCTTAACCGTCAAAGTTGTAAACAATTTATTGGTTAAAATTGCAAACATCATATTTTTCTCGACGCAAAGAGAATATACGTTGCACTTAGAGGGAAAAGTGCTAATTATTCCCACATGCAGGGGGCAAACTATAATCAACCTTTTTGAGAATTTGAAACTTCAATAATTCATGACTAGGTTACCTTTTCCCCACGGGGATGTTATACCACAAGAATTTTAAAAGCAACCTCTTCCAACAATAATTGTACAATGTAGCTTAAGAATTTTATGACTAAAAAAATTCAATTTTAAAAGTACGCAATAAAGACTTGTAGTGACCCAAAGACGTCAACCTATTGATATTAAAAGCGACCTCTTCCTATTTATATTGCCAATTTTTTGGATGAAATCCTTAAAAATATTTAGTTACTGTTGGAAATTTCATAAAATGACATAATATTTGACAAAACTTAATATTCAAGCAAGATTGATATTACTGGACAATTTGTCTTTGAGTCATGTGTATATATTATGTTGATTTCTTGATCTAGAGGAAACTTAAATGTTGAAAAAACAAAGACTCATCGTGTAAGAAAACTTCTTTTGTTATTATTTTTTGAAATTGTATGACAATGACATATATAATATACTCAAAATTCGTTATTCTCAACCATGGAAGTTAAAGACAAGGACGGCATGATAGAATCATAAATTACTAAATATTGGGACATTTACCAACGTCACAATAAGAGGGGGAAAATGTCTCTTAACAGGTGATTGTTCTTCACCAAGATGAAAGTAGTCAATTGCGACAAATTCAATTAACCTAGATTTTCTTTTTTTTTTTAAAAAAAAAATCACTTATAGTTGAACATCCTCACTTTTTTCTTCTTGCTCAATTAAGCTGAGACAAATCAGTATTATGTTGTTATTGCTACAAAAATCAATTTTAGATTCAACCAAAATACAGTAACAAGTAAATTGTATTGTATTACAATTTATTTTCCCAATAAATACATGAAACCATGCTAACACTTAATCATGAGATTATGAAATTATAATGACCCCCTGACTAGATACGGAAAGGCAAAAAATTAACCAAAAGATGTAGTATTTGGGGATTGAAGCACATTTTCAATCATTTTTTCCAAATTCAAGTATGAAGATCCAATAGATGGCCTTATTGCCTCTTCAGCTTTGTTCTTCCATTCCCAAACTTTTTGCTGCAGCTCCTTGCCCTTCTTTCCCTCCATTAAGTCTCTTACCACCTTCTCTACCTCCAATCTATCCACATTACTGTCTATCTCCACAGCAACACCCCAGTGAGTGCAACAACACAGGCGATTAGTGAGTTGATCTGCGAAAAATGGCCAGCAAATCATTGGCACTCCAGCACACAAGCTCTCAAGCACAGAATTCCACCCACAATGTGTTAAAAATACACCTATAGAGGGATGATTTAGAACAAGCTCTTGATTGCACCACGTTGCTAACATCCCTTTATCCTTCGTTGCAACCGCAAATTCGGGTGGGAGAACAATTTGCCCTCCTGCCACGAGATCAGGCCTGATAATCCACAAAAAGTTTTGCATGCTATTAGCAAGTCCCCATGCAAACTCACCCAATTGATCTTCAGTCATCACTGTTATGCTACCAAAGTTTATGTAGGCAACTGATCCTTGCTTCTTGGAATTGAGCCATTCAATGCAATTTTCATCTTCTTTCCATAGATTGGATTGAATGGATTCAGCGGAATGATCACTTTTTTGTATATCTTTGAGAAGCAAGTGAATTGGTCCAAGGGAGCATACATGATCAATCATGTTCGAAAGTTGCTTCAGCACATCATATTCTAGAGTGTCAAAAGTGTTCAGAATGATACCAGAACTCTTGTAAGTTCTTGGCATTATTTTCACTACCCATTCCAAAAATTCGTCCTTGGGATCAGTCGCCCAAATTATGGTTGGGATATCTCTTAAACGGATGATATCGATTCCAGGAATCCAATCAATAGTGTTTTCCATGTATCCATTAGTAAAATAGCTCTCATCTGTGAGTTGAACCCAAAAAGAGATGTATATGACATATAGCAGGAAGAATAAAATTTTCAGAAGTTCATATCATCGAAATTAAGATACGCATTTGGCAAATTCGACTAAATCATATATAAGATCTATTTGATTTTCCCTTTGAAATTTAGTCATGATTCCCGAGTTTTGCTGCTTCAAAGAAAAAAAATATTACATCCAAAGTGTCACATATGTATGGGAAAAATTATATGGTACGTGGTGGGATGTCTCTATTAGACGATCTAACCATAGTCAATTTCATGCGTGTTCTCATATCTTCAATGCTTCTTTCATACTCTATAATTATTTTTCTTGAAAAGCATTTTTCAGGTTCAATACGTAAACTTTGAAGGTTACAGTCATATTTAAAACTTTTCGTACTTAACTAAGATTTAACGGATTTCCGTGAGTTTCTAAAATTTAAGGAGTGAAAATATCTAAAAGTTAGGTTGTAAGGGGATATAAACTAGACAAAATGGCAATAAGTTGAGAAATTTTTTGGATTTTAGGAACCTGTCGCTTTGGAAATTACATGTTTATAATCTTTCTATGTACCTTTTCACACGGTGTATGTGTGATTTATACTAGGTGGTGCAATATTCACATTTGACACCTCACCATCTAGACTGACCGCAGAATTACGATTCACGAGTTTGATAACTCCATATAAAGTGGGATAAATTATTCGGTTTCTGAATCATGCGTTCCTTTTGGAATTCAAAAGTAAAAATCTGCTTTCTACTCAAAATCTTAAATGAAACCAAAAAAAAAAAAAACTATTTAAGTCAATCTAATTCATGGATGACCCTATTTTTAGGGGCAACAAAAAAAGAAGTGGTAGAACCTTTAATTCAAGCTTGTATTATCAATTTTTAGTTTGAATCTTTTGTTTTTAATTAATGTCGTTACTAAAATCTATGTATCATTAAGACTGTATTATGCACAACTAGCGAGTACTAATTTGTACCTTTAAGCGGTGTAAAACCTCGTTCACGAAGATGAGGATAGTGTAGGAGGCACATCACAGTTAATGCACTGAAGGGCCAAAACAACAAATTTGGAATCCCCAATTCTTCAGCTGCCTCGAGCGTGAACGACATGAAACCATCAGAGATTACACAACTTACAGGAGGAAACTGATCATCCATTGAAGCCCTATTGTTGAGTTTTTTGAGTAGATTGCAGAATGGGACATAACAGGTTTTGGAAGTTGAAAGACAAAGCTGGAAAACATCTTGGGTAACACCATCATTTTCAGCTGGTGGAAGGCCATCTGGGATGGTCTCAAAATTGAAACCGGCTGCACCAATCAAAGACTTTGGACCTCGTGCTTTGAGTATACGATTATAGTTGTATTCTGTGTGAACAAAGGTTATATGGAAGCCTTTCAGGTGTAGAAGTTTGGCCAACTTTAGCGTTGCGCTAATATGGCTTTGAACTGGATATGGGATGCAAATTGCATGAGGCTTTTTCATTGGATTTTCCATGGCTAATTGCTCCCTTTCCCAAATAAAATCCTGCATGAACCTCATTCATCATTGAGAATCTTCTATATATGGGTAAATCAAAATTTCTCTTGTAGCTATTTGATGACATTTTTCTTTTTTTGAAAGTGACAGGTACTAAATTATTAATTAGTCTGCAAGTTGAAACCTCTCAGTCATCATTGAGAGTCTTCTACATATAGGTAAATTTAATTTTCTCTTATAGATATTTGA